GGCTTCCGAGTCAACGAAAACTTCGGGGGGGGGCGGGGGGCGGTGGGCAGGAGAAGCGGAATCGCCCCGCGGTTCCCCAGGCCGGTGGGGCGCTGAGCGCCCGGTGCCCCGGGACAGGCTGCCAGGGCCCACGGGGTGTGGGGTGCTGTTTCCCGGGACACCCTGAATCTGGAAACAGCACGTGGGGACGCCCCAAGGAACAGGTGGGTGGACCAGCACTCCCAGCGCCGGCCAGCGGGGTACTGGGGGACCTTTGCTGGAGACCCGGCTTGCCTGGCCTGCGGGGTGCAGGTTGGGGGGTGCTGGGGGGCGGGGCTGGGGGTTCTGCAGGGATTCCAGGGCGGGAACATTCTAGAGCTCCGACGGCTTTTCAAACCGAGTGTGGCCCGCGCGTGGGGTATTAAAACACCTGCTCCACAGACACCGGGGGCGCTTGGGGGTGCGTGGGGGCGCCGCCCGACCCGTGGGGCGCCTGCGGGCCCTGGCCGGCCTCAACGCATCCGCCTTTATCCGGAAGCCCCGAGGCCGCTTGGGCTGTGCGCGCCTGCGCTCCCCTTCCAGTCGGCTGGGTTCTTGGGGGGTTGGAGGGTTCTGGAAACGAGAACTTTGGGGAACCAGCAGGCCGCCCGGGGCTGGGCGTCAGGGTTCCCAGGCGGAGGGAGCCGAGGCCACGGCGTGTCCACAGCACCTGCGGCCGGGTGGGCGCATCTGTGGGAACCAGGGGGTCGCCCGGCATACGCGGGGGATTCTGGGGGGCCCCGGGCCTCCTGCCTGCAGCCATGCGGGGGTGGGGGGGACGGGGGCCCGTTACAGAGGCGGACGCAGCTGAGCGCCCAGGGACACTGCGGCGTCCAGTTCCCTCCGCCCCTGTGCGCTCAGGGCCCCGCCCCGCGCTGCCCCCTTCGCAGGGGTGGGGCGCTCCGGGGCGTCCGGGGCGTCGGGAGCAGCGGGAGCCCAGACCGCGCCAGGCCCAGCCGCGGACCCCGCGCGGGGGACCCGTGATCCCCGGTACTGAGTCCTCACTTCATTCCCCCCGCGTGGCCATTTGGGCGCACAGCTCGGCCACTGGGGTCCAGCGCCACACCCCCGTGGGCACGCGCTTCCCTCGGCGGCCCCCAAAGCCATGTCCTGAGCCCCCAACTCCGCCTTCGGGCGCTGTGGGGCGTTCACCCACCGCGGAGACACCCCACGCTCGGAGCGGCCCAGGATGGAAACAGGGGTGTCCTCGGGGGGCCCCAGAAGCGCGGGGAGGTGGGACAGGGCCTCTGGCACGGCGCTGTAAAATGAGTCGGACACCCGAGGCCCAGGGTCCGTCCAGTGGCCACGCGGCCGATGGC